TCTTAAAGAATTTTTTTATCAGAGATGAAAGCTTTGAGGTTCAAAAATGTGAATCTGATCCAATTTTCAGACCAAATCTCAATTTAGACTTAAAACAGATTTTCACGCCTGAATAATTCCTTATATCGATTTTGTTTATTCAGCAAAATGAATTTAAAATTAAATTTTACACAAATTGGGCACCCCCTTTTTTTAGCTAAATTAAAAAGATAATTAATTAAATAAGTAATTTTAGTAAATTAAATTTTTTTAAAAGATTCTTGCCCTTAAATTTTTTATCATTATATTTCATGTCCAGAAGACCCACCTTCAAGTTTGCCAACTTTTTTGCGATTATGTCCTTCCTTCTCCATTTTCCATTCTCTTTTTATATTTTAAACCAAAAATTTTATTTATTTTCCTTTAAAAATATTTTTATTTTCCTAATTTTGACCATTTAAACCTATAAAAATATTGTTTTTTTTTATTACAAACAGTGCTTAGGATCCATTTAATTTTGATGCGGATCCGGATCCTGGATCCGCTTTGGAAAAAAATGGATCCGGATCCAGGTCATTTCTTTAAGATTTGCTGAATTTTTTTAACAAAAAATAATTTTCAAATTTTTGTTTTATTTTTTTTCTCATATGTTATCCCAAAACTTTATTTATGAAATTTTTATAATCTCTCGTTTTTTCAAAAGTTCATATTCTTGTTTTAAGAGTAAAACAGGTTTTTTTGCAGTTTTTGGTTAATAGTTCACCCCTTGGATCCGGATCCGTGGATCCGCATATTTTTGATCAAATACAGGATAACCCACAAGGGATGAGACGGTTAGAAATACTCTATAAATCTGATTCTAAGCTTATGTAATCTCTTTTTTTTTTGGGGGGGGGGGGCGGGGGGGGGGCAAATTCGTCATTGCACCCCCCTTTCAGAAGAAAGGGGGGGGCTAAGTAATGATTTGGCTAAAAAAGAAACAAGTTTATAGTTGCAAAGAATCATTAATTTAAGGAAACAAACGGTATTATTTCTAAACAGTCTTCTCTGAATTCTCGTCCGGTGTGGGTAACCCTGGATGAATTTTATAACCATGTTTATGACTCTGAAAACTGGTAATGATAAATTGAGGTTTCCTATAAAAAAGTGACTTGGGCATTTCTGCTTCAGGAAATCCATTAGAGGTCTAATATGAGACCATAGGAATAATAATACCCTTTTTTAAATGCATAGGATGCATAGATGCATAGTTTATATACATTTTATATATCGTTATTGTATAGGAAAATATATACAAGTTTATATACGGCTGCATAGGATGCATAGGGTGCATAGATGCATAGACTTGTATAAGAAAATATATACAAGTTTATATACGGCTGCATAGGATGCATAGACTTGTATAAGAAAAAGTTTATATACGGCTGCATAGGATGCATAGATGCATAGACTTGTATAAGAAATATATACAAGTTTATATGGCTGCATAGGATGCATAGATGCATAGACTTATATAAGAAAATACATACAAGTTTATATACGGCTGCATAGGATGCATAGGATGCATAGATGCATAGACTTATATAAGAAAATACATGTTCATGAACTGAAGGAACTTTCAGATTTAAAGACAAGTCTGTTTAGAAAAACGACCTTATTTTCCACTGTGTTATGAGGGTACAGTTGGCAATCGCGCATGCCCCGCCTTTATTTTTAATGGAGGGTCACGTGAATCTCTTTAATAAATGTATTGAATATCAAATTTATAAATTTTTTTGTAAAACGCAAAAAAAAACAACAGTCTCCCAGAAAAGTTGAAACAGGTTTAATTTTACCTAGATTTTTCGGGGCAAGAAGTTTCCGGGAAAATTTCCTGAATTAGTCAAAATTTTTCAATGTCCTGGAACTCGGCTACTTTATCCTGGACAGGATTCCAGGTAGGTCTTATTGAATATTTAAATTTTTTTGGGGGGGATAAAAGAAAACTAACAAACAGAATTTGTCAGATTATACAAATAAAATTGTGCTTAGTCTCTTCATTTCTTTTAATCGGGTTTGCGCTCAAACTGAACAAGGAAATTTTCTTAAAATATTATCAAGTTTGTTTTTATATCTGGTGTATGTAGTTAGTAAAAGATATCTCTGAATATTTAGATTTTGGTAAAAATATACATTTGTTTTTCTTTATTTACGAGTGAACAAATTTTTAAAACAAATTCTGGAGAATAAATCTTTCTTGTTGTTGTATTCCGGATTGTTTGGTATATGAGTGAACAGTCCCTTGAATCCAACAGGAAGCCAGATGAGGCAGTACATCCCGGACCGCTGCAGCGTAGACACAAGTCGCACTGCACATAGCCGTCCAGGGACCTGTGCTACATACCGTGCACAGACAGCTTACAGAGAGAACCTTTCTGAACGAGAGAGAAGAAGACGATGAACCGAGTTCCAGTCATAGTGCGGAACCCTGCCTATATTGAGGAACTAGATGGAGAAGATGTTGATCCAGCAGACCTTGCTCCTCTCATAAGTGGAAACACTCCAATTGTCACTGTTCCTGCTTCAGAGGATGAAGACGTAGCTGAGGAGGTTGTAGAGGATGGAGATGAAGATCCTGATGAAGAAGATCTGCCCAAGAGATTGCAGGACGTCCTCGAAGAGCTAGAGGAGCTTAATAGAGAAGTGACTCAGGGCTTACAAGGATTGGACCAGGAGCTAGAGAGTATAATGTCCCTTAGGGACGCTAGCTCACAGCAGCCTAATGATGTCCCCAACATCAATGTATGGGACACAGGGAAGGCTATAGAGCAGGAGTACAGGCTGCACCCCGACCCTACTATGATGGAGGTCAGGGACAGGTTGTCCAATCAGGTTTGGGATCTGCTCCAGATATTACAGGGGCAGGTTGACCAGCACACCTGCAATAATAAGGATATGAAGTTGATTGAAGGACTGAGAACTATATTAGTCCTACACTCTAGACTCGATGTCCTGACTGATAAAGGGCTTAAACGTCAAGCTAAGAGACCTTAATAATACCAAGGGATCTAAGGCTAATGTTAAGCTATTATTATTATGTACATAATATATCAGTATGCATTTATAAATGTGAAATTGAATGTATCAATAAATATACTTGTGCTTGTGAATGATTTTATTACTAGGGTGTTATTTATGTACGTGCATTTAAACATATAAAGCTATCTCGATATATGGAGATAGCTGAAGTATTGTAATGCCAGGTTACAAATATATATGACAGCGCATGAGGAGTTAGGCCCGCAGAATAGGACTAACCCGAGCTGCAATGTCAACAGGTTACACACATGATAGATATAAACAGGTTTAAGTACTTGTATAAATCTTATTAAGTGTAGATTTTAGATACCATTTATTGCACGTATTTGTGGTTCCCAGATACCACATTGTTTAGCTAACTCGCTTAAAAAATTATTTAAATTATGTATACTGGATGTCAGATATTTAGGTTTAAAGGTTTTTAATTACTGTATATTTGTTGAATATTAATGTTGACTAATATATCTTTTTAATTGTTGTATATTTCTTGAATAGTTGAATACTATATCATCTAATTGATGTTAACAGCCAGAGTTGCACCTGGAGTTTTTAAGCAAGGGGCCGAGGGGGGGGGGGGGTCGTTCAGAATAAAATTACGCTATTTTAACCAATATGTGTATTGTGTATGTTGTGTTAGCTAATATAGATAGTTACCCTCAAAATGTGAAACTGTTAAGAGTACGACCTAAAACTTTTAAATTATGACAATCCCAACATTAAATTAATCTTTGTTCATGAATAAAGTCTTTAATTGGCTTAATTAATGATTTGGAAAAGAAAGAAACAAATTTACAGTTGCTTGCAGGGAATTATGATCATCTACTAGCTGTGAAGCTGAAATCTATAAACATAATTAGCATGATATATTTATAAAATGTGATGAATGGTAACATGTTGTGACCAGATAAAGTTATTTGACAGAATACATTAAAATCCAATATTTAAAAATGTTTTTTCTGCTCTGGGTAATCCTGTATCATATATCCCACAAGTACTAATGTTAACAGGGTGTTAACTGACATATATTTATCAAATATTGATGTTAACACTTTTACAGGGTGTTAACTGACGTGTATTACTTAAATATTGATATTTACACATTTACAGGGTGTTATCTAATATACATTTCTTAAATATTGATATTTACACATTTACAGGGGGTTATCTAATATATATTTCTCAAATATTGATATTTACACATTTACAAGGTGATATCTAACATATATTTCTTAAATATTGATATTTACACATTTACAGGGGGTTATCTAATATATATTTCTTAAATATTGATATTTACAAATTTACAGGGTGTTATCTAACATATATATTTCTTAAATATTGATATTTACACCTGTACAGGGTGTTATTTAACATATATTTCTTAAATATTGATATTTACACATTTACAGGGTGATATCTTATATATATTTCTTAAATATTGATATTTACACATTTAAAGGGTGTTATCTAATATATATTTCTTAAATATTGATATTTACACATTTACAGGGTGTTATCTAATATATATTTCTTAAATATTGATATTTAAATATTTACAGAGTGTTATCTAATATATATTTCTTAAATATTGATATTTACACATTTACAGGGTGTTATCTAATATATATTTCTCAATATTTAAATACAGGGTGTTGACTGAAATATCACCTCCCGACCCGAATATCAGTAGTATAGTGCTACTGGATGGAACATGGGATCAAGCTAAGAAGATGTTTATCAGAAATCAGGGACTACAAGCACTGCCAAAGATCATGCTCAATCTAAGGTTTTTTTCTTTTTCTGAAAAATATGAAAAATGATTTCATTTGAAGTCGAGATTTATTCCCCAATAAAGTTTTAGACATTTTATTTAATAAGATTTAATTTTTATTGATTTCTTATTGACAAAGATAAGCTAAATAATGATAGCTTTATATACTAATAAGTTAAAAATATTTCTCCTAGTCTTTAAAAAAATGGTACACTTTACATTTTTAAATTTTAAAAAAATTTATTTTGTTTTTTTAATTTCAGTTGTAAGAGTATTTATACAGTTAGAACCCAGCCAAACGAATCATGTTTGTCAACATTGGAAACTGCAGTACACTCAGTGGCATTAATAGGAAAATAATTATTTTATAATGTAATTTCTTATTCGATTTTCTTAATTGGTCAGTACAGTACAGTACAGTAAGTACAGTACAGTACAGTACAGTACAGTACAGTACAGTACAGTACAGTACATTACAGTACAGTGCAGTACAGTACAGTACAGTACAGTACAGTCCACTACAGTACAGTACAGTGCAGTGCAGTACAGTACAGTACAGTACAGTACAGTACAGTACAGTACAGTACAGTACAGTACAGTACAGTACAGTGCGGATTAAAAGGTGCATTTACTTTTATTAGAGACGTCGATAAGAATTTTGTAAATTAAAAAAATTAGATTTACATATCTCTGAATGTATCATGTCAGAATTTAAGAGTTAAAAATTGTCAAAACCCTAACGATGTTTTGTAATTTAAGTATTGATCCTAAATATTACTGAAGATGTGGGAAAGCGTTCATACTTTTTTAATTTTAAGTGACCCTTCATTTATAGGAGGGCATGTCCGATCTACAACGGCACGCTTATAAGCTGTGTCTGATAAAATGATGTTTTTATTTTCGTTTTTAGCTTCTCTGCCAAAGCGACTTATAATGAATAAGTCTTTAATCAGAAACAATTGAGAAATTATCAGAATTGAGCATTTTTCAAGAGATATAGAGAACGTTAAATAGATGATCACCTAAAAGAAGGAAATATGAATGTTTTAGAGAATTTGACAAGATAAATAATTTTAAAAATGTTAAATTCATAATAATTATGATTTTAAGAGGGTAGGAGTGAGATTATTGAGCCTCTGCTTAAACCTCTAAAAGTATTGTGCAATATTCAACTAAATTTCGGAGCTGTTATTCATGACAGCAGGAGCAACAGATAACAGCTAGTTTCTACCTAGAAGTGTTTGTGGTTGTAACAGACAAGAGCAGATATTACGGATCTATAAATTTGTTAAAAGATATAGCTGTAACAGCAGAATTTTTTGCTTTAACAGATGAACTTTCTTTTCGGTTCTGTATTATATAATGTCTTAGATATTAAATATAAAAAATTGAGGGAATCAGTGTTTTAATAAAGTAATCATGTTTATCCATGTGTTCATATATTTTCTATTTTATTTACAGGGTGAGTAAAATGATCGCGACTAGAGTTGTAATAGAAATCACTATTAAACTTTTTCCAGGGTGTACATTGTAGGTGAAAAAATACTGAATAACGTGAACGTATCCATCCTTAAAGTAGGAGTTTTGAACGTCGAATTTGCGCTCAAACTCAGGATTTACAGATCTTTAAAAAGTTCTATATGTCTCAAATGAATCATAAAGAAGCTTTCCACAATAATGCATACTCAGTTCAACTACCTTGCATAGCCGGTCTGTCCCTTTAATGCACAATGCGCAGAAACATAGCAGTTATACCTGACAGCCTTTTACCGTTTGCATAAAATAATTTCTATTAGACGTAATCATACTACGACTTGAAATCAAATATTGTAATCCTAACTTATACGTACTATGATTTGAAATCAGATATTGTAACAAAGGTGATCTTGAATTCCCATGTTTTTTGGAACACCTTGTATCTTTACCAATCGTGATAAGGAATAAAAAAAATGTACTTTTATGCATTTAATAACATCCTTAAAAACAAATACAGCTGAAAGATTTTGTGAAAATATTTTGGTAAGATGTTATATTAAATACTGTTTGTTATTTGAAAACCTGTAATTTTCTATTCTTGAACGCCAGATATATTTTAAAAACACGTTAAAGGTAATTATTGGATACTCGTTTTAAGATCTTAAACATATGTATTTGTTGCATTTAATTATATATGCGAGTAAAAGTAAAATATTTTGGTCTCTTCGTTTAGAAAGAAAAAAGTAGAATATGTAATCGTCTTTTCTTCAAATATGGAAGTAATTTCAAAATTCAGAGCCGTAACTGTGGTTTTTACTGAAAAGGAGGGGTCAGATAATTTTTTGAGGCGTAAATAATGAACATGTAAAGTTTCAGAAACATGTCGCATGTGGAATATTTTATTCCAATTCATTTTTTCACCATATTATAAAGTTTTTAAACAGAAATTTTTTGAGATATACGAGAAAAATAGGTTTGGAACTGTTTTCTAGGTTAGAACATATGTTGGAGTTCAGAGAAGTGCTTTTAGGATCCGGATCCGTTTGAACCCAAACATTTTGACTTCCTGAATCCGAATGCCAAAATATCAACCAAAAACTGCAAAATAAATCTGTTGCTCTTAAAACAAGAGATTATGAAAAATGTCCTTTAAATATATGTTTATGACCTGGATCCGGATACATTTCTTCTGGATCCGGATACATTTCTTCTGGATCCGTATCAAAATTAATTGAATCCTAAGCACTACAGTTCAGAGACCAATTCATAGAAGTTCATTCAGTCTCATATCTGTAATTTGATGGTTTACCTAAAATCAGTGCTTAGGATCCATTTAATTTTGATGCGGATAGGGATCCGGATCCGCTCTGGAAAAAATGGATCCGGATCCAGGTCATTTCTTGAAGATTTACTGAATTCTAAATTAACAAAGCAAAAATTTCATTTTTTTTTTCGCGTATTTTTATGCTAAAACTTGATGAACCATTCAGAAATCAGGAAATTTTTATAATCTCTTTTTTTAACAGTTCAGATTTGGGTTCAGAGAGTTAAAAAGATTTTTTGCAGTTTTTGGTTGATATTTTGCCCCTTGAATCCGGATCCCTAGATCCGCATATTTTTTTCCGGATCCAGGAAGACAAAATCGTCTTGTCAATAAGTTTCTTAAAATCCTTAATTTTACAAGCTATAAAATCCTTGATATTTATTATTTACCGTTTCGTCCTGTTTAGGCTAAAAAAAGGCTTTATTTTTATGCATGTTTAAACAGCTTCTTGACTGAAGGTGCATTCATTTATTCTTGATTTCACTTCAAAAGACACCCTCAACTAAGCTGTTGGTTAGTTCTGCAGTAAACTGCAATACACTCAATGTACCTAAATTCATCTGTCAACAGGGCAGAGACCTGTATCCCGTCATAATAATTAATGCAATTAGACCAGGGACTAAAATCTGTCATTGGCGGTCTGGCGATAACCTCGGATTTTCCTTGTAACCTTAAAATAAACCTGCAATTTTTGTTTATTTATTTCTGAAAACTTCCAAGTAAAAAATTAACAAAGTTTACGAATTGTAAGACGTCACATCATTATTGGTTTTGTTTAGTCACTTTAATTTTGGTGTGTGGTGCAGGACGTCCCTTAAAGTCTGATTTAGTTTGATTTGACACTGAAAATTCCAATCCTTGACTTCACTTGTCAGCTGTCATCATGTTACAGTTTCTTGACTGAAACTGCAAAGTTCTGGATTGTCTATGAAAAAACCGTTACAAGAAGGTACAAATCCTTGACTTTACTTGTCAAGCTATGATGCTACATCATGTTACAGTTTCTTGACTGAAACTGCAAAGTTCTGGATTGTCTATGTTAAACTTCCAAAGACGCTTCAACCTTTCACAGTTTCTTCACTGAAGCTACAAAATCCTTGATATTAAAGCTGGGTTGTCTGATTTGGCTTGACTCTATTAATCCATCTTCGTAAAGGTGTGGGTCAACTAACATCCATTTACCTGTATTCAAGTTTTTATATTTCAATTAGTTATATAGACTGATAAATACTTAAAATTTAATTCTCAAAAATAATTAAGATCGGACACACAGTGAGACATATAAAACTGAAGATTAAAATCAAGTTATTCAAAACGGTAGCCTTCATACCTTTGAATTATCATCGAAGACAGATTATAAATATATCTTAAATATTGAGTGGAAAGCGAGTGTACTGTGTGAACTCAAGCCGGATAACGTCACGGTACTCCTGGAAAATCAAGAATATTCTGTCTCCAACGCAGTTTTCAAAAATTCGAATCTAGATATCTAAATTCTGCCACTTCCGGAAAGTAAATGTTAATATTCCTTAAATATAAAACAGCTTTCAAGCAAAGTATTCAACAATTGCAAGCGTTCTTGTCAGGGGGGGATGATAGTTCTCTACCTGTGTGCTCAGTTAGCTGTACTGTACTGTATTTATTAATATTGATATACTAAAGGTTAGGCTAGAATAAACTTAAAATAAACAAATATGCAGTACGCTCTCGGTATAGTTTATGGCCTATAAAATTAGTAAAGGATTAGCGTACATCATCACTCTATACACTATAACCTCGTTGGTTAGCGTACATCATCACTCTATACACTATAACCTAGTTGATTAGCGTATATCATCACTCTATACACTATAACCTCGTTGATTAGCGTACATCATCACTCTATACACTATAACCTCATTGATTAGCGCACATCATCACTCTATACACTATAACCTCGTTGGTTAGCGTACATCATCACTCTATACACTATAACCTCGTTGGTTAGCGTACATCATCACTCTATACACTATAACCTCGTTGGTTAGCGTACATCATCACTCTATACACTATTAGCGTACATCATCACTCTATACACTATAACCTCGTTGGTTAGCGTACATCATCACTATATACACTATAACCTCGTTGGTTCTTGTAAATAAAAGTAAACGACAACGTCTGTCATTCTTGACCAGCCAAAGGTTTGGAGGGTACCGTTGTGAATCATGGGTATGTCATTCTTAATTAGAAGGTCACTTTTACGCTTATAACAGATCATTTAAGAGGAATTCTAGAATTGTGAAATGGTCTTTTAAACTTTTTATCTCTTCAATTTTTAACGCTTTGGACGACATATGTTACCTGAGGCTTCACATCGTCTATATCTTCTACCTTCTCCACCTAAAAACAAAATCCATTTCAGAGAATTGTGGACACCCCCCCCCCACACACACACTCTGCTTGAAGTTTTTATAATGAAAACTAAAGAAAAACATCTCTGAAGTTTAAATGTTTATTAGTTAGTTTGAGGAGAAATGAAAGACTGAAAGGCTTGCGCTGCCTACCATGAGTCCTAGTTTTTTTTCAAAAACTTTCCACTTTTTAAAACTGTGTTTTGTTAAATTTGCATTCCTTTGCAAATTTTAAATTCGAAAAATTGGAAAAATGTTTATTGGTTTGTTTTTCAGCCATATTTTAAATTTTGCATAGCATAAGAGAAGCACAAGATGTTAAAATATACAATTGTAAAAAATTAGCTTTTCTCACACAAATTTTAAAATATACAAATGTAAAAAATGTTGCATCTGAGATAAAATATACGCTAAAATTAACCAAACCGATTATCAACATTAGACCTTAGTTAGTAAGTATAACTATTAACTACTGAAGAGGTAGAGTACGTGTATGTTTCGGTATTGTTACATCGTCTTATACGCAACATCCCCCTACTGAACTTCTGACCTATTGCAATATTGGACCTATGCCAGCTGGTTTTTTTGTTGTATTAATTGATGGCTAGGTTAGGTTAAGAGAATTTCTGGGCCGAGCGCTGCGGCTAGGACAGGCTAGGGGGCCGTGCGCTGCGTCCACAAGTTCATCTTGCCGCTGTAAAACAACGAGCTAGTAGGTCGGATGTGTAGTATAGCGGATTTGGCGTAGGTCAGAAATGGAATAAAGCGGATTTGCGTAGGTCTATAGATACACTATCGTATGTTTCCATTATACTATACTGTCACGTAGGGCGACAGCATTGTAACAAGTTTTATTAGTTTCAGTATTACCAGTGCTTAGGATCCGCAACATTATCACTTTCTGGATCCAAAGAACCTTAAATATCTTTTTAAAAACTGCAAAAAAAATGTTGCTTTTCGGAAATTTTTAATTGGGAAAGTACTTTTACTTTTTGACATTTTTTGAAAAAAGAAACGAGAAAGATAGTTTAAAAGAAAACTTCCTAAATTCAAATCTTATTTGAAATATTATTGTATAGAGAAAATAGTACCTTTGAAAATGGTTTTCAAGGGTTCAGGATTAGTCAGCATTCTCCTGAATTCAAAAGAATTAAAAAGAAATTAATTGCTTGTCTCAAACTCCAAACTTAACAACTTTAAAAGCTCTATATCTTTGCAACTGAATGGTTTAGACCTATAATATTTTTAATTATAGAAATGCCTAAAATTCGTGATTATCGCTGTAAACAATAATTTTTGTAACCAACCGGGTATTTATTTTTCACAAAACGTTTTATTCTACTAATCTATATTGTTCCCTCATTCTCCCCTACCTACCGAAAACTAGTAAGTTTGTTTAACCAAGTATTATAAAAAATGTATACCAACATTTTAACTCCATGAAAATATTGTTATCCATGTCTAATACCTGTAATCTATTACAGGTTTGAAATACAGATTCTTTTGTGTTTGCAACTTGTGTATGTAGAGTAGAGGGGATATCCCATAGATAAAGATAGATCGCGCATAAGACGACATTTTTCATCTTGAAAGATATAAATGTACAGAGATGTTGTAAAGATATTCCTATTATATAGATTAACTAGGTCGGTTGTGAACATTGGCTGTTCTTATGTCATTGAGTACTTGTGGTGTACATGAGTTCTGTAGAGAGAAATTTATGTTAGTTTAGTCCTTCTGATGTTCTTCTTCAGTTCTCGTCAATATGATGTATTGCTCAGTGAAATACTGTTGTTCAAATAGATCCATTCCCGGAGTTATTTTACACTATTAAAACACCAAACCACCCCACTTATCATTGAAGTACACTTTGACTCCTAGAAGTATGAGTTCGCGGACTGTACAATTCTTGGTGATTTTGCGTACATAAGCTATCTATGTTTATTTATTTATCTATGGGATATCCTACCCGAGCAAATTCGAGCCCGTTTTGAACTTGACAAGTGTGTATTTCATTTTACAAGGTTTGGTTAAACCCGGTCAATTGGAACATTCATTATGCACGAACTGATTTATTGATTGTAGTATATTTTGATTCTATTCTGCAAAAATATTTAAACAAAGAGTAATCAATATTTATCTTGAGACTTATGAGAGGTTTAAATGCGAAAAACCTAGCTGTATATCGTGTGAATAAATTTTATATAAAAAAACTAAAATAACTGAAACTTTATTAGTTATTTCTGTTTCTGTATCTACCATCATTAACACCCTGTATTTTAATTTATCTCTACATAAAAATCCTTCTGATCTCAACCTGCCACAGATCACCCGACAATCTCCTTCCTTCCAAAAACTCCTGACCTATCCAAAAACATATCTTGATCTGTAACCAATTATATTCAGTATCGTTAATTAACTTTAAGCCAACCATTCAAAACAACCAACCCTGGTTATGCGGGTCCAAACTGCATAGCAAATTGTGATTGCTTATTTCTAATATCTCATGCTTTGTAGTTGAATAAAAATATGAATGAATGAATAAGATTAGTTTTTATTTAGTATTTAACGAAAACAGTTGTCTGTTAAAACATCAATTTACATGAAGGGGTTTCTTTTTTGTAACAGGGCTGTATTGTTCTCTTTAATGTAAAAATTTTGTGAAAAATAGCATTCAGGTCGGAAATCCTTTCAAGTTTTAGTAAATTTTAAGTTTTTGAAATAAATGTTCTAAGAACAGAGGATTTAAAGTGCAAACATGAAAATATTTAAATTATATAGATATTCTTAAATATCTACTTAAAAATGTTTCTCTTAATCTTAATAATAGCTTTCGTTTAAATCAAATTCTTTAAACAATGTTTTACTTCAATCTTGGTGGCAAAAAACCGGAAGAAGATGAAAAATTATTTATAATTGACATTTGTTTCATATCATAGAGAAAAGCAATTCTTATTTTGTATTTAAAACTTCAACTGTCCAGATTTATAAATACAGGACTATTATTATAAAAAATACCAAGGATTTCAATTTTCAGATACCCACAACAATATTCAAAATGTTATTTGTTCTCATAATACAAAGTGTTGCAATTAATGAGAAATTATTTTAACTTATCTGACTTCTCATTGATAAATCCAGTTTTTAACAAAAGTAACCAAAAAAGAAAGATGGGAATTCGGAAAATTTTGAAGCATTGATTTATTTGATTATACCTGTACACTTGTCTCATATTTGATTATACCTGTACCTGTACACTTGTCTCATATTTGATTATACCTGTTCACTTGTCTCATATTTGATTATACCTGTACACTTGTCTCATATTTGATTATACCTGTACACTTGTCTCATATTTTCACAAAAATAAGGAGGCTCAACAAGAGGACTGGTAGATCGCTAATAAAAATGAAAAAAAAATTTTAATTTATAAAAAATGCAACCTACATTATTTTTACATTTATACATTTATACAGAAGATGATCGAAAGTGCACTTTTTTCATAAAATTATGTTTATTAAATCTGAACTTTTTGTTTTTACCTTTGAGAGTAAATAATCATCTGTGACTTCCAACCAACGGCTGGCCGAACTTTTTAATCATTGAATAAATATATAGTTCAAATATATTATATTTATTTCGATCGACTGATTTTGTATTCAATAAACGTCAAGTGACTGAACCAGTAAACTCTCACAAACCCCCGGTAGTTTTATCACCGGTCGGAATAAAAAAGTGAGTGAACTAAATGAATTTAATTTACAAAAAAAAATATTTAAATGAATTTAACGAAATAAAATCACGTATTTTCTTATCTTGAGTAAAGTTGAAATTAGGAATAGAATGAATAAAATGAATAGAAGGAATAAAATGAATAGAAGGAATAAAACAAATAGAATAAATAGAATGAATAGAATAAATATGATTAATTGAATGAATTGAATGAATAGAATGAAAAGAATAAATAAAATGAACAGAATAAATAGAATTAATTAAATTAATTGAACGAATTGTATGAATTGAATGAATTAAATGAATAGAATGAAAAGAATAAATAGAATTAATAGAATAAATATAATTAATTAAATTAATTTAATGAATTGAATGAAAAGAATGAATTGAATGAATTGAATTAATTAAATGATTTATTTTCCTATCTGGAGTGAAGTTGAAATGAGGAATGAAAAGTGTTGACGTCTTGTTATCATAAAGGTTCAGAACACCTAAACAAATCTTATTGAAAATCATTTTTGATTATTTTTAATTAATGCAATTTTTTTTAAATATGGGGCACAAACGGGAATATACAGTTTGTTTTTAAAGGTCGTCTTCAATTTTATTTTTCAGGATTTATTTGTAAACTAGCTGGAGTGTCCGGCGCAGCCCAGGCTTATATTATTATTCTTGGTCATAGTTATACACCCGGACATAAAATGTAAAAAAATTCTACAGTAAACTAATTAGTTGTTTAGGAACAGGTTGAGAAAATCAGTGGCGTAAATAGGGGGATTATTGGGATTATTTATCCCCCCCTCCCCCCCCTATATTTATTTTTAATAAAAAAAAGTTGATAAAAAATCTTTTACATATATTTACCTTCATATTGAAACCAGTGACCAAGAGCCCTAAAAAATAGTAAATCTTATGTTATTTAGGATACTTATGAAGGTTTTCTTGTAATTAGTGTCAGTCCTAATGTAAAACCTTAGATTCAAATCTTCTGATCCATACGATAAAGTTAAAATGCCAGATGTGGTGAATCATAATTAGAGGGACTGTTCAGGAAAAACGAAAGGGGGTATAGGCTGAAACATAAACACTTGATCGAGACCTTTATTAGTTTTATCTGATGTTCCTGGTCTCGAGAAAATCGATATAAAACTGTGTCAACGTTATACCAAACTTGTGTAATATGTATGTCAGATGTGGAATAGGAATCAAAGTTTTCAACAGATCATATTCAGCAAATACGTAACGAATCTGAAAATTACGATAACTCAGAGGAGCCTAAACAGCTTAGGTACGCTCCTATTATAATTTGAATAAATTTTTTATTCACGTTCAATAGATATAAGTGATAATGTAATTGATAGGTCTGTATCACGTGCCCAGAATTTCCACCAATGGCAGTGCAGTATCATTGTCACGTGATACAGACGGTGACAAAGGAGCTTATTAGATTGAACAGAAACTTTCTTCCATGGAATCAAAAAACCATTTTTGACAGTTTCTATCTTTATTGGTGTAAGAAATGTCGAAAATATTCTTGCTTTACTATTTGAAAATTGAATATTTTCAATTGTGGATTCTCTTTAAAAGTGACTTTTAGATTAAGGCATCATAAACAATGAAAGAAACTTTCAAAATTTAATATTTTCGTATCTTTTGAGATGGGGGTAATGTAGAAAACGTCGACAATGCCTTTAACTTCTTTAATAAAAAATGTTACTTTAGTTGAGACTTTCCACTTGTGTCGAAATCCCCCCCCCCATGATGTAAATATGGGGGGGGGGGGGGGTCAGTAATTGTGTTTGAGAAAATATTATCTCCTGTATTACCTAATATCAGGATCTGGTCCATGATCCGCAAATCTAGCAGGGAATACTTCTCCGGTCTCTAGTCTGATTTTGTAATTCTCAAAATATGTGAAGTTACACCAGGATTATACCCAAGAAATTTCAAGGAAAATATATTAAATTGGTTTCAATGATCATATATTCAATAGGTTTCAATGATCATATTTTCAATAGGTTTTAATGATCATATATTCAATAGTCTTCAATGAAAATATATTCAATAGTCTTCAATGAAAATATATTCGATAGGTTTCAATCAAAATATATTTAATAGGTTTCAATGAAAATATATTTAATAGGTTTCAATGATCATATATTCATTAAGCTTCAATGAAAATGTATTCAATAGAATTCAATGAAAATGTATTTATTAGGTTTTGATAAAAATATATTCAATAGGTTTCAATGAAAATATATTCAATAGATTTCAATGAAAATATATTCAGCAGATTTAAATGAAAATATATTCAATAGATTTAAATGAAAATATATTCAATAGGTTTTAATGAAAATGTATTCAAAAGATTTAAATGAAAATATATTCAATAGATTTCAATGAAAATATATTCAATAGATTTAAATGAAAATATATTCAATAGGTTTTAATGAAAATGTATTCATTAGGCTTCATTGAAAATATATTCAATAGAATTCAATGAAAATGTATTTATTAGGTTTTGATAAAAATATATTCAATAGGTTTCAATGAAAATATATTCAATAGATTTCAATGAAAATATATTCAATAGATTTCAATGAAAATATATTCAATAGATTTAAATGAAAATATATTCAATAGATTTAAATGAAAATATATTCAATAGGTTTTATTCAATGAAAATAAATTCAATAGGTTTTAATGAAAATATATTCCGTAGTTCTTCCGCTTAACGAGTTTCAATGAAATACGATTATTAGGTTTCGTTAAAAACCAATGAAGTATGTATCGATAAAAGTCTTATTTAAAAAAAAAGAAAATTCAAAATAGAAAAATAAAGTCAATCTAAGCCCCCCCCCCCCCCTCCCATTAAATGATACTTGCATAAAATTTTACCGATAGATAACGTAATGATAGATATATAATAGCGGTAATTAAGCAAATAATTAAGCAATAAACGCCAGGTTTTTCAAATTTAGTTTTTAAACATCTTAACATTTTTAACGGCCATAAAAATGCAGTTTCTGGAACACATTTCTTTTTAAAAGTAAAAGGTATATTTCTCAGAACAGAAACAAATTAAAGAAAAGTAATGAAAATAAAAAGATCAAGCAAATATATAAAATAAATTTCATGAATCATTCTCAGAACCGGAATTGGAAATGAAAGGTTTTCTTCTCTCTTTATCTTTACAACCTCATCTGATATTTCGAATTTAAGCAATTTGATCCAGAAGACTTGAAAGTTTATAATATCAAATGTCTTCGATATCGGTTGCTAAGTGAATTTTCTATATTTTTCAATACTTTAAACTGTTTAAAGGGACAGACCGGCTATGTAAGCTAGTTAAACTGAGTAAACAGTGTTGTGGACAAATTCTTTAGAATTCATTTGAGACATATGAAACGTTTATAAAATCTATATTTAATGAGTTTGAGCACAAAGTCGACGTTCAAAACTCAAACTCATGGAAAAAAAATATACAATAAACTACAGATGTCATGATTAGGAACAGGTTAAAAAATAAAATCAACTGTTATCATCAAAATAAATATAATAGATTTATTTTACATTTATTTTTGTCATGAACAGTTTTTAACATTTTCCGTTTGGTAAAGCTCGACTTTTCCATTCGGTAAAATTGATAAGAATATCAATATGATTTTTTACTTTTCATTTTAACATGTATTTTAATAAAAACCATTTGAAACAATTCAGCCATAATATTTAAAAAAAAACTGATTCGTAATTTGTTGGGTTTAAAAAACTTTCCCATAAAATAAAAAAGTTTTTAATTTTTCCATATCAAGTTAAATTTATTTTTAACAAAGATGTCCAATTGTTTCTATACTCCGTGAAAACTGGCCAAATTTAAATACTAAGTAAGTAAATTAAAAACTTTTAAAAATTATTCCTGATTGCACACCCATAGTGAATGGGCCAACGGACCATGACAGCCTGGGTTATATCTTCAGACAGTCCACGGTCATCACTAATAAAATAATTTATATAGATCCTACAATCGTCGTCGCATTTATCAATACAAAGAAGACGACTTTCGATTTCAATTTTGATTTATTTCAAGCTGTTAAACAACATAGATACACAAAAACATAATAGTCAAGAGACGCTGTCATTTAAAAAAGCTTCTCTTTGATTACTTGTCAACTTGCAATTTGAAAAAAGCTTGTTGATAATCAAAACTTTAAAAAAGTCGTCTGTTGCATTGATATAATCGCCTACCACTCTAGCTTGGGAACCCAGCTTTGCCTGGAAACTAAACATAAACTCATCTAACTCGACTTAGATATTTAAACCAAGCTGAGAACATTCCCATCGTTCTCTCTAGCTTCCAAATAGTTTATGGGATTCCTGATCGGACATACAATTCACAAACAGACAGAACAACATTTTTTGGTACCACAAAAAATCCGCAAAATTAATTTTAGGAAAAAAATAGTTTTCCTTCAATAAAGAATAAGGAATAATTAATGAGTTAGATTCTATAAGAATCCGCAAAAAGTATTAGTGCAAATCTGTACCAAAATGTACGTAATAAAATAATATTTTTGCACTGTTTTAAACTATCCACACTATTGATGTAAAAAAATTGTAAAATGTTTGCTGGTTTCTGTAATAAATCCTTTATTTAGAGATTTTAAAAGTAGAATAAACACTTTTCGACATATATTTCGGAAGAAAAAATCGAAATTTTTCTTTTCTATGTTAACAAAAAGTATTTTAAACCTTTTTATCACTTTATTTTATATATTTTTAAACCTAAGACATGAAGGGTTCATTATATTTAAAACCCTGTTTTAAATCTGTTGTTAATTTTTTTAAATTATAGCTGGAATGCCCGGTATTGTCCAGGTTTATATTAATATTCCTAATCATAGTTTCTCCCGCTATTCACCCTCGAGTAACCAAAAAAAAAAGGTTTTATCCAATTTGGTAATTTGGTTCAGCCGTTTGGCCAGCTATAGCTTTATTATAAAAAAATTTATCTTCAGTTAAAACGTGAACGAAAAAAAAACATCTGTTATGCTACGAGAACTACATTTAAGGGGTAATTATTATGTCAATCTTTAAAAATATAGTTTTCCATTAATCAAACAAAGAAGTTATATCTGCACTTGTGTAATTTAACCCAGTATGTCATTCATAAATTTAAATACTTAGAATTTCACATCCCCCACTTAAAGGGACAGGAGACGTATTCTTCAGTAACCTTTCACTTGTTAAGTGGCATTTCGATTTCTGAACAGTATCCTTTAACCTATTTGAGGAGTTATCATTTTTTCTAATTGAATGCCTTTAGTGTAGCAAATGATATAACGGCGTAGATGATTAGACGAAGATGTTTGAAGGGTACCGGTGTGAATCGGATATATTACTCTAAATGAATGCATTAAATGGCCACTTTAAATTATATCTGCAGTCCCTTTAAATTGATAAGTACATCTTTTAAACAAGTGTATGCATTGTGAAGCAGAACCCCTTTCTTCGGAGGCACGTGCACGTGCAAAATACTCATGATAAAAAAACGGGAAAAAGAGAAATGGGAATTGTGGAAAAGAGAAGGGGAAATGAGAATGGGGAAAGGAAAGTGGTGGAAAAAAGAAAATGGGAAAGTAAAGTATGGATGAGGAGAATGATTAAAAGGAAGATTGGGAAAAGAAGAATGATTAAAATGAAGATTGGGAAAAGGAGAATATGGCAAAGGAGAATACATGGATCGAGATAAGGAGAATGAGGAAAAGGAGAAATGAATATTTGGAAATAGTGAATGAGGAAAAAAAGAAAGGGGAATGGGAAAACAGAACAAGGAAAATGGGGAATAGGAAAATGGGGAAAAGAGGAAAAGAAGAAAAGAAAATAGGGAAAAGGAGAATGAGGAAAACAATAAAGGGGAGGGGAAACAAAAAAAGAAAATTGGGAAAAGAATAAAGGGGAGAAGAAAACTTGTTTACAGAATGTGCCCCTGCTGCAAGCAATAAATCACAAATGAAATGCTAAATGATCCACTAGGCACTTATACATAAACTATGAATGAAGAATTGAAGAGTTTTGAATTTCTTTTTTTTACTTTACATCCAAGAGATTGATCTGAACAGAGAAACCTTTTAAGTGAACGGTTGTGAATCGGATATGCCACTTTAAAAAATAAAAGGTTATATAAAATCACGCATCCAGACCCTTTAAACGAATAATTAAGATTGATTGTTAATTGGTTGCTATATTTAAATAAGTAATTAATGAAGAGTGCTTGGCAGAGCGGAAAATTTCACTTTGCACAAATTATGTCTACAAAAAAAAACGAAACTTTGAAATGCTCGGTAACCCTTTAAAACTCAAAGAAGATCTTCTATTAGATATGGATAAAAACGGAGGAATTGTCAAGGGGAAGGGTAAAACAAGGGTAAGTGGTAAAAATGACATGATTTTGTAAAAATTCCAAAATTCTAGGATTTCATTCTCAACAATTTTGTTCCTGCCGGCATACCTTTTATTAAGGTACATTTTCCATCAATACTATTATNTCGAATTATACCTGAATCCTCCAACTATAGAATTCAAACTGAATCCTCTTTCTAAAGAATTCTACCTGAATCCTCCGACTATAGAATTCTAACTGAATCCTCTATCTAAAGAATTCTACCTGAATCCTCCAACTATAGAATTCTAACTGAATCCTTTATCTAAAGAATTCTACCTGAATCCTCCAACTATAGAATTCTAACTGAATCCTCTTTCTAAAGAATTCTACCTGAATCCTCCAACTATAAAATTCTAACTGAATCCTCTATCTAAAGAATTCTACCTGAATCCTCCGACTATAGAATTCTAACTGAATCCTCTTTCTAAATAATTCTACCTGAATCCTCCAACTATAGAATTCTAACTGAATCCTCTATCTAAAGAATTCTACCTGAATCCTCCGACTATAAAAACATCCAGCTGTAAGCTCTGATTATCAACCCGCCTTGTGTTTATGATTATTGATTACAATAAGGAACTTTAACATTTTAAATCAAAATTTTGAAATAGAAAACTAGTGAAATCTAAAAAGCTGAATTCTGTGAATAGAATTTCATATTCTGTGTTCCTATATGAACCACGCCACAGCTCAGCAAATTCTTCTCTCTAAAAAAGAAAAAATTTCGGAAATAATTTTAATATTTTTTTCAATTGTAAGCTTAAACTTTTTAAAAATAATTAACTAAATAAATAGGTAAATAAGTGAGTTTATAAAAATCTCAGGATTAGTTAGACTTAAAAAGTAATTAAGGATTATAATAAATAGATGGAAATAAAACTATCTCAGGATTTTATAGAATTAAGAACTTTATCAGGATTATATAGGATTAAGTACATATCAGGATTATATAGGATTAAGTACTATATCAGGATTGTATATGGATTAAGAACAATATTAGGATAATATGGGATTAAGAACTTTATCAGGGTTATATAGGATTAAGTACCATCTAAGGATTATATAGGATTAAGTACTATATCAGGATTATATAGGATTAATTACAAAATTAGGATAATATAGGATTAAGAACTTTATCAGGATTATATAAGATTAAGTACTATCTAAGGATTATACAGGATTAAGTACTATATCAGGATTATATAGGATTAAGAACAATATTAGGATAATATAGGATTAAGAACTTTATCAGGATTATATAGGATTAAGTACCATCTAGGATTATATAGGATTAAGTACTATCTAAGGATTATATAGGATTAAGTACTATATCAGAATTATATTGGATTAAGTACTATATCAGGATTATATAGGATTAAGTACTATATCAGGATTATATAGGATTAAGTACTATATCAGGATTATATAGGATTAAGCACTATATTAGGATAATATAGGATTAAAAACTTAATCAGGATTATATAGGATTTAGTACCATCTAAGGGTTATAAAGGATTAAGAACTTTATCAGGATTATATAAGATTAAGTACTATATCAGGATTATATAGGATTAAGAACAATATTAGGATAATATAGGATAAAGAACTTTATCAGGATTATATAGGATTAAGTACTATATTAGGATAATATAGGATAAAGAACTTTATCAGTATTATATAGGATCAAGAACTTTATCAGGATTATATTAGATAAGTAATATCTTAGGATTGAATGGGATTAAGAACTTTATCAGGATTATATTAGATAAGTAATATCTTAGGATTGAATGGGATTAAGAACTTTATCAGGATTATATTAGATAAGTAATATCTTAGGATTGGATGGGATTAAGAACTTTATCAGGATTATATTAGATAAGTAATATCTTAGGATTGGATGGGATTAAGAACTTTATCAGGATTATATTAGATAAGTAATATCTTAGGATTGGATGGGATTAAGAAGTAGAAAAAGAATCAAATTATAAAAATGATGAGATAATCTGGTTTAATTAGTTGAAAGAAAAAGTTCCACGTGCAGGAAGGATATTAAAGTTATAATCATGAAATGTTCTATTATTACCTTAATATAATTATATGGCAGGTGGTGGCATCTATGAAAAAAAATACTAAAACATACGATAAATTGGCCTGAGGTTCTAATTAATGAATATCAAGATTTAGAACTTTGTTCTAGAGTTAGTTAAACTACTTCTGCGGAGTTGCTAATAGTGCACTAGCTAGGTAGTTCATCTAGTCACACCTAGTTCAACTAATTCTCTCTATTCAATTTATCAGGCCTCTGAACATAAATTTTCCCCACAATGCAAAGCTGTAATTGAAGACATTTCGTTGATTTATATATTTCTCAGAATCTCAGGGGATACCAAAGATGGCAGATTGTATCAATGTGGATGGTATTGAGAAAGAACCAAATCTACCCCCCCCCCCTTTCCACCTTCGGTAGTTAACCTGAAGGCTTAGGATCTGTTTCATGTGCTCAACCAGATCTTGGAGTTGATCGTTCTCGTCGCTCACTGTTCAAATATTAGAAATAAACAATATCAGTGATCTAAGTCTATAGTTTTACTTGTCATTTTTACATAATTTTCCCAAAATTTATTACTTTTTTATCATCTCCAGTTAGGGAAAATCAAATTTTAGTGTGAAAGAAGGAGGGTTATGGAATTTAACAAAAAGTTGTATTTAGTATTTTGGGGGTTTATACTTTTATTAGTAACCCCCCCCCCCACCCCCCCTCCCATAAAAAAAATTTAAAATTGCAGATTTTCTCTGAAATATGTGGCAAGTTTTATATATTTCCTTCACTACCGATGAATTCTATATTCAGGTCATCCTATACTAATAATGTTATTGATCCCGTATAGACAGAAGTCCCAAACAGAAAAGTTTAAAATTGCTAAAATACAGCTTTCATTCTCTTACAAACACTTGAGATCCGGAACCCTGCCAAAATGGAATAAATCCTTAAGTTCAGACAATTTTTCTAATATTATAGACATGAGATTTAAAAATATGTTTATTGTAGACGGTAAAAAATAAAAATATGAATATATTTTATTACACTTCACTCTGGTGACCTCTGTAAAAAAGTCCATATAAAAAGAATCAGTGATTGAGTCGATCTTTATCAATGAATTAAGTATACACAATCTTTCACCAAGCCCACCCGAACAATTTAAATTTTGTATCTTACTAAAACTAATTTTTATATCTTTCAATTTTGGTGAACTTAATATCATATTTTTTTAGGGGTCATAAAGCACAATATTCCTGGGTTACAGCCACCATTTCATGTTCACCGACATACAGATACTTGTCTCGAGGAAACAATTCCCGCGCATTTTCTCCAGCAAACTTTGAAGAGATTTGGTGCAATTTTGTTAATTTGTCGAAATCTGAAAACGCTATTTTCTTATTTTTAAAAAGTTAAGTTGTATTAGGGATAAAAGGAAATGACTTTTGATGATTTGGGGCAGAAAATAAAAGATTGAGACATCAAAAGACAACATTTTATCCTTTTTTTAGATACATTTTACCCAAAACTTCGTTGATTGCTCCCTAAAAACTGTTTATTTTCCCAATTCTGTGGAATAACAAAATTTCAAAAAGAGGGGGGGGGGGAAGAATAAGGATTTTTCAAGAAAATATACACCCTGTCACAATCAAAGCGAATGAATAATATCTAATAATGAAAATTTTCTTCAGTTCAACTTTTTTTATTTTCCATTCCGAATGAATCAAATTTTAAACCTTATTCCAAAGATGTAGGAAATTATTTACTTCAGTCCAAAAATGTAGCAAATTATATACTTTAGTCCAAAAATGTAGCAAATTGTATACTTTAGTCCAAAAATGTAGCAAATTATTTATTTCAAAAATGAAGCAAAATTTTTAAGACTTGAAAAAAATTAAGGCCATCGTCCTTCATAGAAAATAAAAACGCGTTTTAATGGTTTCTTTATTTAATAGGTTCTCTCCTAAAAATGTAGAATCGCTCTTTGCTTCACCGTCAACAAAAAGAACCATCTTATTTTATTCTAAATCTGAAATTATTTCCAATACTTATTTCTTCGTCTCTTCTTATCTCTCCTCTTAATGAAAAAATATGGAAATAAAATACATATTATTCCTTCTACGGCGAAATATCACATTAATATAATCTTTAGTATACGTGTAGGGGGGGGGGGGGGCTACATTTTGAGAGAAAGGAGACACAGCAAACAAAATTCATTTAGAGCTTCTGCTCCAAATAAAGGCGAAATAAAAGCTACATTATCAAAATATTATTTTAGAGAAAGACAGAAGGGCATACCAAACTGAAAGAAATAAGTCTTATATAAAGTAACAACAAAATTAAAATGTTTTCAGAGATACCCTACAATCTCAATACTTCATAAATAAGTGTTAAACATGGTTAGTCAAAAAACTTTACAGTGAAAAACAAGCAAAACAATAATTTTTCGCATTTATCAAACAGTAAAATGAGATATTTATCGTAACATATATATAAATGTATAATAAAGAAAATCGACCATGGTGGCCGAAAATGTGAAAATTTAGAAGAACCCAAAATATTTGATTGTGTTAAACAGGAAAAAATAGATATAGAAAATCCACTGAAAAGTATTTAAAACACTCAGTCTGAGCTAAAAACTTTAGAATTGGATGGATAACCTTAATATAGATCGCTTAATCTAAAAATACCATGTCGTACTTTTCCCCTTTTTTCGGATATATCTTAGAAGTAATAAAAGAGGAGATGACGATTTGATCTCGATATCCACAATTCTAAAGTTTTCAGCTCTGGTCATATACTGTTCTGTTAGGAAAGCTCTTCAAGACTTTAAGCAGCCGAAATACAAAAAATCTTAGTTAAGCATGATGCAAAATGCTTCTCTTCGGCTTGTCACGTAAAAAATAAATAAATTTTCAAATTTATGTTTACAGAAGCATTTTAATATTTTACTGGTTTTGCAGGCAGAACAAACAAAATTTGAAAATATATGCAAACAAGTTTTCTATAAAATTTTTAGCAGAAGTATTCATTGAAACAAGAAATGTAAATTTGGGAATAAATGTGCGATACAAATATAGAGTGACTGGTATATGCAACAATTATTGACTAATAATCTAAAAAAGATTGAAACTAAATTTTTGGCGCTGACAGGCACACTAATAGCTGCTCGCGGTTTTACGATGATAATTCGGCACGATTTAACGCACGAACGATTTCTGTAACAGATGTGGAAATGATTATTGTTTCAATTCTGACATTATTTTAAGATTGCCGACCTTGAATGTCGAGAATATGATTTACTTTAAGCAAACCAAAAAAAAATATTTGGTTAACAATACAGTCAACAAAAGTCTTGATTAAATACACAAGTCAGGCCTAGATTTGCAAATTTGCAAAACTAGCGCCAACTTTTTAAAATGATTGTTTCCATAATTTCAGTCTAATAAGATATTTGGAGGATTTTCATTTTTTGCTCCGCCATTTTGAATTTTATTCGCGGGGTTTCTTAAACAGGCACGTGTTTTCCACCGCAGGCATGGCAGGCCCGGCCACAGGAATAGCAGGCGGTCAACATAGGATACAGGCAGAGACAGGGAACCAACACGGCCAACAAGGATAGACTAAAACAAGTTTTTATTTAACAAAATTACTTTGGAATTAAAGCTAATATGATCACAGTATTGAGCATGTAAACGTACAAATGATAAAAAATGTAAATTTCTATAATTTTAATGTTAAAAATGTTACCCAAGCCATCGTTTTGCTAAATGACCGTCTGTGTCGGTGCAAGTGCAAATCTCTTCCTCACTAAAATAAATAATTAGGAAAGATTTTCAAAAATTATATAAAAAATTTAATTTTAACTATGTTGTTGACTTTTTAACTTGTCTGACTTACTGTTTGGTTTAGATGTCTTGCTGTTTAGGTGTCTAGGTTTCTAGGTGTCTAGGTATCTAGGTGTTTCGGTGTCTAGGTTTCTGGGTGTCTGGGTGACTAGGTGTCTAAATGTCTACGTGTTTAATGAAATAAAGTCAGGATGTAATCTCGAGATGAAATTACGTGTCTAGGTATCAAGCAGGCTAGCTATCTAGTGGTTTAATTGTCTAATGGAATGGCTGTCTAGAATTCTCTTAGGCTGTCTTGTGATCTGGGATTCTATTAGACTGTCTTGTGATCTGGGATTCTATTAGACTGTCTGGTGATCTGGTATTCTATTTGGCTGTCTTGTGATCTGGGATTTTATTTGGCTGTCTGGTGATCTTGGATTCTATTAAGCTGTCTGGTGATCTAGGATTCTATTAGACTGTCTTGAGATCTGGGATTCTATTAGACTGTCATGTGATCCGGAACTCTATTCGACTGTCTTGTGATCTAGGATTTTATTTGGCTGTCTTGTGATCTGGGATTCTATTTGACTGTCTGGTATTCTGGGATTCTATTTGGCTGTCTTGTGATCTGGGATTCTATTTGGCTGTCTTGTGATCCGGGATTCTATTTGGCTGTCTTGTGATCTGGGATTCTATTTGGCTGTCTTGTGATCTGGGATTCTATTTGGCTGTCTTGTGATCTGGGATTCTATTTGGCTGTCTTGTGATCTGGGATTCTATTTGGCTGTCTTGTGATCTGGAATTCTATTGGACTGTCTGGTGATCTGGGATTCTATTTGGCTGTCTGGTGATCTGGGATTCTATTAGGCTATCTGGTGATCTGATATATTTACCTGAAGTTTTCATCTTCATAATGACAATGGTACAACAGACATTTAGCACACGCCAGACAGGATACACAGTCGATACACTAAACAATATAATGGTTTGAATAGATGATACATGATACAGTTGATACATTGAACATAATGTTTGGTGGATTTAGGATACACAGTCGATACACTGAACATAATAGTTAGAATAGATACAGGATACAGTCGATACACTAAACATAATAGTTAGAATAGATACAGGATACAGGATATTCTGAACAATATGTTAGTAAGAATAGATACAGGATACAGTCGATACACTAAACATAATAGTTAGAATAAATACAGGATACAGGATATTCTGAACAATATGTTAATAAGAACAAATACAAGATACAGGATATTCTGAACAATATGTTAGTAAGAAGATACAGGATATTCTGAACAATATGTTAGTAAGAACAAATACAAGATACAGGATATTCTGAACAATATGTTAATAAGAACAAATACAAGATACAACAGAGAATATAATACTTCGGATGGATACCATAAAGGATACAGTAAACAATATAAAAGTTTGAAAGAATACAAAAAACAAAAAAAATAAACTTAGATTTTCACAAATCGTCGATTTGACTTTAAGCTCTAAATCTGTAAAAAATAAAACCATTTTGAATGCGTTAGTTATCGTCTTCCATCATTAAATTGTATTCGTGAGGTTTCCTTTTTCCAAAAGAAAACATCTGTTGAGCAAAGAGAAATTGTATCGAATGTACATTTAATTACATTTCTCAATATTTCAGAATAGTACGAAACCGTTAACTTTGTAAATTAAAGAAATGGTTTTTTTGAATAAAAAAATAGATAGATATTAATAAAAGAATGGTTCATAAGGTTCATTGGTTCATTGGTTCATTGGTTCATTGGTTCATTGGTTCATTGGTTCATTGGTTCATGATCAATGAGATAATTTGTTTAAATAATAAATGCGTAGGATGTAATATTTGAATAAAGGACTGAGGATAAATAAAGGAATAAAAAACAAAAGAATGAAAGTACGAAAGAATGAAAGAATGAAAGGATGAAAGTATGAAAGTATGAAAGTATGAAAGTATGAAAGAATGAATCAAGAAAATAATGGTTAAATAAAGAAATGAAAGGATGAAAGGATGAAAGGTTAAATAAAGAAATGAAAGGATGAAAGGTTGAATAAAGAAATTAAAGGATGAATTGAATACCTGTCTAACTCTATCCGGAGAATAGCTGCAAGACCCTTTCTTATTTTCGCTCTGAAAGAAAAATTTATAATAATATAAGTCATTTTAATATTATAACATTATAATCAAGTGCCCTTTGATAATCAACAAAAAAAAACTAAAATAACGATTAAAAACCCCCTGAAACTGTTATTAAAGTTCCTAACAATACAGATAAAAATGTTTAATGCGATTTAATTTTTTTTAATTACCTCTGAATAGAGTTCCTGACAGTGGGCACATCTTTCATAATGGAGACGACATCCACCTTTCTTTTCTTTCTTTCCTTTCTTCCCTTTCCAATCCTTTTCCTTTCCCGGGCTAAACGTATCCTCCAGGCCTAGGCCAGCCGTCTGCCCCTTTAAGCTTGATATGGAACATCGTCGGCCGCCGTTTTTACCCATTCCAGGCACCCTGACAATAACAGAATATCGTATCAAAAACATTTTCTCGGAAAAAGTAAATTATGTACAGCAAAGTTACTATTATGTTGGAGAATAGCCTGTGTCCGAATTTAATAAATTTAAGCCGCGTCTCAAATTCCCCAAGACCGATTTTAATTGAGCCTCGGCTTAGATCTTGAAAAATCAAAATACAATTTTAAGTGGAACCAACCATATTTGAACAGCGGCACAAATTCTATAAATTCCTCAGAGCTGAAAACTTAAGAATGGGATATCCTTAATCCGGATCGGTTAATTAATCTGGAGATTAAATTCATGAGGAGAACAAGCAATATCTAATCTGGAGATTAAGAAAAAGAGTGGATCAAGCATTAATCCCGATATCCACAATTCTAAAGTTTTCAGCTCAGGGTTCTTCAGCTTAGCTGGATATCTTAATGTTGATGGCTAATTCTTAGCCGCAGAATTTATTTCAGTGTGAAATTCTGTCATTGGCGGATTTACGACTTCAGTGGCCGAATTTACAGAATTTGAGCGGCGGTTTAAATTTAAGCCGCGGTTTAAATATGGTTGGTTCCACTTAAAAATGTATCAAATGTTTCAAGATTTAAGCCGGCGCTGAATTTAAACCGGGTTTTGGCGGCTCAAATTCTTTAAATTCCATCTAAGGATTCTCTGATTTAAATCTTTAATCATCTTTAAAGTTTGCCTCCAGAATATCGCATATCGAGTTCAACCACTGAATTCACAGGATTCACAGAAACCAGTTTTAGTAAAGGCGTTTTTAACTACGTATCTTGAATCGGTGATTCAAGATTTGTCAATATATCAAAACGCTTGGACGATAGGTAATCCATGCAACGAGTTCAACGACCTAGCTCAAATTTATTAATTCCGGTCATAGGATATCCAACAAACAAAAAACTAAGAAACTTCTTATCAAATGAAACCGCAAATCCGGGAAATAAAAATATAAAAATCTGGGAAATTTTTTTGGATCCATAACTCAATATAGAGTAAAGGGATCTAATACATTTTTAAATGTTGTGTAAAAATAATAAACTTATGACCATGAATAATTCGATTCTAATATCTTTAACCAATGTCACATTCATTATTTTCTATCAAAAGCTTTGAATATTATTAAAAATCTGCTGAAGGGTTATATAATATTAGTAGACAAATTTTCCATTATCAACCCACATAGGTCAATACGCAGCTAGACTAAGACGTACTAATGATTAGAAGGCTTTTCCTAAAATCATGTGATGACTAAGCGATACTGGATATGGGAGAAGACTTAAAAGGTTTAGCGCACAATATAAACATTTTTCCTTTATACAACGCAACTTATATGAAATAAACATGACAAAATAAGCATATTAAGTTTTGAAGTTGAAAAATAATAACTTCTAGGATAGTAGAGAGAGGGCCAGGGTGAATAAAAGGAACACCTATATTCAAAAACAATGAATTTATCTTAATTAATAAATAAATCCTAATGTTGATGACGAGATTCCTTTTTTTTTACGATTAAAATAATAATCATTCATGGTGGGAGGGTATAATGATTAAATTATGAGAATAATATTGGATATTAATATTAATAACAAGAATAATAATAATAATGATAAAAAATCTTACATATTAGAAAGTGTGTCTAGGTTAGGGTAGTGATATTGAGGGTCTGGATCCTGAACGCAAATATTAAAATAAGAAAAATTAATTATTTGAAAAATTTGGGAATAAAAAAGACAATTGTTCTGGTAAATCATTTAAAGATAAGCTCTTGAATTCAGAAGTTTTAGTAGAAATATCTTAGTTCTATCAAAAGTTTAAGGCTCTGAATAATTTAGCACATGCAAAAGCTCAATTATACGCAAAAAATTGTACTGTGCACAGATAATTTTTTAAAAGGTAAAAATTAATTTGTATGACAAATGTTGATAAACGCAAGTGTTTTTTTTAATTATCAGCTTTTTTTAAAGTTAACTATAAATGCGCTGTATAATTTGGAGTGTAGATGGAAAAACTTCTGAAGTTGAATTTTAAAAAAATGTTAGAAAAAAATTTCAACATTGAATTTGCGTATTTTCCTTGATATCGAAGCGTACATAGGTATCACTAAAGTTATCATTATCCAACCGTAAGCACTCTTTCCCCGGCCCATAGTCACCCTTGTCAGGACTATACGGCGCTCTATCCGGGCTATAATGCCCTCTATCCGGGCTATAAGGAATCCGGCTGGGGCTATAATGTCCCCTATCCGGACTATACGGCCCCGGATCAGGACTATAGAGCCCCCGACCAGCCGGGCCCGATATCACAATATACTTATCACTTTTAACACTGAGTGCACTGTTATTGGTTCTAGAGAGTGGCTGCTGCTCAGAGGAGTGCAACCACTCGTAAATATTGTCTCCAGGGGGGCGGGGGGCACCAGGGGGGAGCCCAGACCCCCTTATGGAACCCCTGGTGTGCCCCCCAACTGTATTAGAACGGGTTAAAGGATGAAGCCTCTGGGAGTTTAACTGAAATCAAAAAGAAATATTTAAATTATTAAACAGATTAACTAGACTTGTTCTTTGGTTTGTATCCAAAACAAATAAATTTGAGTAAGACCTTACACGATCCCCAAGAGATTTAAATTTACCATTCAAGATTTAAAAATTTCACTTCAAAATTTTTTTTTAGAATTTAAAATGATTCAATGATTGCCGAGGACATGTTTTTATTTACGGATTTAAGATAAATACTAAATAAATTTCATTGAGGATTTAAGATTTTAACTAAATAAATTTCATTGAGGACTCAAGACAAACTTAACTAGATAAATTTCATTTGAAGATTTAAGACAAATTTAACTAGATAAATTTCATCTAAGGATTTAAGACAAATTTAACTAGATAAATTTCATTGAGGATTTAAGATAAATTCAACTAAACAAATTTCATTTAAGGATTTAAAAATACTAAATAAATTTTATTTGAGGATTTAAAAAAAAATAATCAGCTTTCAAAATCTTGACTCGTACTTTCATATGATTATCGATTGATTTAATAATAATATTCTGGCAATGAAAGTTTTGAGCTAGTAAATGGTTAAAATTTAATATTTAATGAATGACGTTTTTGTTCTTAATCATGCATGCTCATTCATGATAAACACACAAATATAGGAATAAAATAATAAATAATAAATGGATGCATAAAAGGACGAATATACGAATAAATGCATAAATGCATAAATGCATAAATGAATAAATGAATAGAGGATGAAAGAATGAATAGAGGATGAAAGAATAAAAGAATAAAAGAATAAAAGAATAAAAGAATAAAAAAATAAAAGAATAAAAGAATGAAAAAATGAAATGATGAAAGGATCAAAGGATCAAAGGATTAAAGAATGAAATGATAAAGGATGAATGAACGTGGTTAAGTATAGGTGAAAGGATGAAAGAATGAAAGAATGAAAGAATGAAAGTATGAAAGGTTGAAAGAATGAAAGGATGAAAGAATGAAAGGTTGAAAGGTTGAAAGGATGAAAGTATGAAAGAATGAAAGTATGAAAGGTTGAAAGAATGAAAGGTTGAAAGGATGAAAGGATGAAAGAATGAAAGGATGAAAGGATGAAAGAATGAAAGGATGAAAGGATGAAAGAATGAAAGGATGAAAGAATGAAAGTATGAAAGAATGAAAGTATGAAAGGTTGAAAGAATGAAAGAATGAAAGTATGAAAGAATGAAAGTATGAAAGGTTGAAAGAATGAAAGGTTGAAAAGATGAAAGGATGAAAGAATGAAAGAATGAAAGAATGAAAGTATGAAAGAAAGAAAGTATGATAGGTTGAAAGAATGAAAGGTTGAAAGGATGAAAGGATGAAAGAATGAAAGGATGAAAGAATGAAAGGATGAAAGAATGAAAGGTTGAAAGGATGAAAGGATGAAAGAATGAAAGGTTGAAAGAATGAAAGGATGAAAGAATGAAAGGTTGAAAGGTTGAAAGGATGAAAATTTGAAAGAATGAAAGGTTGAAAGAATGAAAGGATGAAAGAATGAAAGGATGAAAGAATGAAAGGTTGAAAGGTTGAAAGGATGAAAGGTTGAAAGGATGAAAGGATGAAAGGATGAAAGGATGAAAGGATGAAAGGAAGGATGAATGAAAGGATGAATGAAAGGATGAATGAACCTGGTTAAGTATAGGTGTATCCTGATATAAAGGACTAGAAGAGCTTGGTGTACCACGGGATCGAACACTGTGAGGAGATGTCGGCGGCGGCGATGTAACTCGTGGCGGCGGGGACCTTAAAGGGTATGATTGAAAAATATCAACTTATGAATTATTTTGGACCAGAACTATAATTACAGAAGTCGACTTTTTATTAAAGCTAATTGATTTGATTTAACAAACTTTTTTTCGAATCACAACTTAGTTACAAGTAATAAAAGATGATCTTTTTTAATTGACAACTTCTCTTGACTTCTATGATTATGTGCATCCAATATCCATGCTGTTTAACAGCTTGATATAGATCAAAATTGAAATCTAAAGTCGTCTTCATTGTAATGATATAATCGCCTACCCCTATATATTGACTGATCCTTTTGGACCAGAATCAATTATTTTAAAAAGCACAATCATATTCATATATAAAAAATAGAGCTGAAAAATTAGACGGGCTTTGTCATTATTAATACTAATATTCGCTTGAGAATTTGATGACGTCACAGAAAATTTAGAAATGGTAAGATGATACACGTGTTTAAAATATCCACTAGCATGTTCTTTACCTAGGAGAGCTGGGTTGGGAATCTCTCTCTAAAGGAAGATCAAGCATCATGAAGACCTCCCCCTCCACCCCCTCCCCCACATCCATATTGATTTGCAGGGGGGTGTACTCGCCTAGTTCTCCTTCTAAACATTACAACTAATTATCATTCATAAAATAATACTTTCAAAATGTCAACATTATTGCAAGTGACATCAGAGTTGTATGCCCGTACCCTTCACACCTTTTTCTTTTTTGCTGCAGAAATCAGCAATTTACATTTTAAGAGAAACCACAATTTATAATTATCCCCTTTCTCATAGAAACTCAGGAATATCTTTGCCAGATTTGCTGGCAAAGTTTAAAGGGTACCTCTGTGAATCCGACAATGAGTTCGTTTGTTGATAAGTCACTTGAAATAGTGTTTAAAGTAACTTTACATAAATTTTAAAAAAGACACTAAAACGAACAAATAATCAAGGGAAAGTATTTTACTAGTTTTCAGAGGAGATAAAATTCTATGTACTTGAAGTAAAAAAAAAATCTATTTTAATTAACAAGTAAAAAGAAAATCTAAATTTCTAATTTCCGTTCTTGAAAACATCCCGTATAATAATTATTAAAATAATAATTAACTAGGTAACAGATGGAAAAACAAACAAAAAACTGGTTTCATAAATCATAATTACTACAGACAAATACATAATTACAATGTACAACATATAATTTAACTAAAAATACTTAAGTTAGTAAAAATAAGAATGATCCGTAAGTTCAGGGGCGTTAACAGGAATTTGTCCGAAGGGGGGTGGAGGCTTAAACAATCCCCTTGCCTCTCTTTTATGCGCCCCTGGCAAGAATAGGTAACATGCATACACAGCTGGACATAAATCATAAAAAAATACATTCATTTGTTTTTAAATATTGTGCTTAAATCCTCATAATTTTTAAGTTAAAAAATAAAGCTTTCCATGTTTAAAGAAAATGACAGCCATTACACTTATTAGTTTTTACGAGAAACCGAACCTTTTTTCGTCTGGATGTCATCGTAATCTTTAGACGGGTCTATTGATTAATACAAAATAACCATTTAGTTAAGAAAATTTTTAATAAAATAATAAAATAATAATCTAACTTGAATTAAAAATAATATTTTCAATGATAATATTTTCAATGGTAATATTTCAATGGTAATATTTTCAATAGTAATATTTCAATGGTAATATTGTCAATGGTAATATTGTCAATGGTAATATTTCCAATGGTGGTAATATTTTCAATGGTAATATTTTCAATGGTAATATTTCAATGGTAATATTTCAATGGTAATATTTCAATGGTAATATTTCAATGGTGGTAATATTTCAATGGTAATATTTCAATGGTAATATTTCAATGGTAATATTTCAATGGTAATATTTAGCCTGAATTAAAGTCTGGTTCAGGGGCTGGTTTATGAATACATGCAACAGTATTTTCTACTTACCCAGACATGGCAGCAGCCAAATATATAATTAAATACTGCTGACACAAACAGTTAAATACTGCTGACAAATATTTTAATATTGCTGACAAATCGTTAGATACTGCTGAAAAATAGTTGAATACTGCTGACAAATATTTAATATTGCTGACAAATATTTTAAAATTACTGACAAATATTTTAATACTGCTGACAAATATTTTAAAATTGCTGACAAATAGCTAAATACTGATGAAAAATAGTGGACAAGTGCTGACAAATAGTTGAATACTACTGACAAATATTTTAATATTGCTGACAAATATTTTAATACTGCTGACAAATATTTTAAAATTGCTGACAAATATTTTAATGTTGCTGACAAATAGCTAAATACTGATGAAAAATAGTGGACAACTCCTGACAAATAGTTGAATACTACTGACAAATAGTTGAATACTGCGACAAATAGTTGAATACTGCTGACAAATAGTGGACTACTGCTGACAAATAGTTGAATACTGCTGAAAAATAGTGGACTACTGCTGACAAATAGTTGAATACGGCTGACAATTAGTTGAATACTGTTGACAAATAGTTGAATACTGCTGACAAATAGTTGCTGAAAAAAAAGTTATATACCGCTGTCAAATGGTTGAATATCGTTGACAAATGTTAAAGACTGATGACTAATAAACGAATATTGCTGACAAATAGTAAGATACTGCTGACAAATAGACAATTATCAGATACTGCTGATTAATAGGTAGATACTGCTGACTAAAAGGTAGATACTACTGACAAACAGTTAAATACTGCTGACACATATTGCTGCCAAATAGTTTCATGTTGATGACAAAAAGTTAAACTGCTGACAAATAGTTGAATACTGCTGACAAATGATCAGATATTGCTGACAAAATGAAAAAATCAACCTACCGTCCATTAAATCTTCAACTGCCCGCGTAATTCCCTTGTCAAACGTGCGCGCATCTAAGAATACCGAGAAAAAATTAGGCCTTGAATATCAAAAACGAGAAAATATCAAGAATAAAAAGAATGCAACATTTTGAAGTAAAAGAGGTTTAAATATTTTTGTTCGGTGTTCCTGCAGCAGTTTGGAAGGTTAAACCAAACTTTTTGTTTCCTGTTCTCCAGTGATGGAAGGTTGGCATAACCTGAACATGAATATATATATAGAAGATGAATATTAGATAGATATTTAGATAAATAGATATATGAACAGATGTATGGATAGTTTTATGGATAGATCTATGAATAGATCCATGGATAGATATATGGATAGATATATGGATAGATATATGGATAGATATATGGATAAATATATGGACAGATATATGGATAGATGTATGGATAGATGTATGGATAGATATATGGATAGATATATGGATAGATATATGGATAGATATATGGATAGATATATGGATAGATAAAAAGATGGATATATATGGATAGATATATGGATAGATATATGAATAGATATATGGATAGATATATGGATAGATATATGGATAGATAAAAGAATAGATATATATATGGATAGATATATGGATAGATATATGAATAGATATAGGAATAAATGAAAAGAAAAATATGATATTTAGATAAATAATGGATAGATGGTTAGATTGATAATAGATTGATGCTAGAAAAATTAATAGATTGATAGACGGAAAGATGAGATATATAGATTAATTATAAATATTGATAACATCAATTTTCCGGGACTAATCAGAAAATCTTTAAAAAAATGAATGTTAAAAAATTGGTGTATTGCTAATAAAGATTGCATGCAGACAATAATAATAGGTTTTTCGAGTGTTATTTTGGAGTTAAACCTTGGAAAATAATCTAATTTATCTCGATGGATAGCTGGATAGATAGAGATAACTAAATAGAAAAAGTAGGCTCAAATCCGCGAAAAGAATGAATGAATTCTGATGGAATACGGTTTTCATCTTTTCATTCATGATTAATGATATCAATAAACATAATCTTAGATAAGTGTAAAAACTGGAAAAATCCGGATAAGGCCTCAACGGAATGTTTTTTTTCGAAAAAGAAAATGAAGCCCTTCTATGCCAAATAAATATAAAATTTCAAATCAAAAAATAAATTCCTTCTGTACCTTATAAAATGCCGGAAAAATGTAAAAAAATTAATTTAAAGGTAAAAAGGTACTTTAAAGGGTGGTACAATGTGAAATTCAGTACTGGAAAATATTGGAAACACATATTTCCAAATTCAAAATAGGAATTTATTAAACTAACTGTTTCCAAATAGTTTAAAAACGATTTAAAGATAAAAAGCCGAGATAACAATAAGATGAATAGTTAGTGGTGATATTTGTATAAAATGTGATCATTAATCAAACACACAAACACGAACGATAAAGGGTGAATAAAAAATGTACCCTTTTGTACTCTAAAGTGAATTAAAAATTTACCCTTTTGTACTCAAAGTGAATAAAAACTGTACCCTATTCTACTCAAAGTGAATAAAAATGTACACTATTGTAACTCAAAGTGAATAAAAATGTACACTATTGTAACTCAAAGTGAATAAAAACTGTACCCTATTGTACTCAAAGTGAATAAAAAATGTACCCTATTGTACTCAAAGTGACTAAAAAATGTACCCTTTTGTACCCAAAGTGAATAAAAAATGTACCCTATTGTACTCAAAGTCCCGCTTGATGGTACAACTAAGCACGTCGTGATCATCAGATATTCGTCTCCCTAAAATAGAAAATTTATATTAATTCTTTAAAAATATGTGCTAACATTTAATACTCCATGAGGAAAAATATGTGCTAACTTTTAATACTCCCTGGGGAAAAATATGTGATAACTTTTATTACGCCCTGGGGAAAAATTTGTGCTAACTTTTAATACTCCCTGGGGAAAAACATGTGCTAACTTTTAATACTCCATGAGGAAAAATATGTGCTAACTTTTAATACTCCCTGGGGAAAAATATGTGCTAACTTTAAATACTCCCTGGGGAAAAATATGTGCTAACTTTTAATACTCCCTGGGGAAAAATATGTGCTAACTTTTAACACTCCATGAGGAAAAATATGTGCTAACTTTTGATACCCAAGGGGAAAAATATGTGCTAACTTTAAATACTCCAAAGGGAAAAATATGTACTAACTTTTAATACCCATGGGGAAAAATATGTGCTAACTTTTATTACGCCCTAAGGAAAAATATGTGCTAATTTTTGATACCCCCTGGGGAAAAAAAGCTAACTTTTAATACTCCCCGGGGAAAAATGTGTGCTAACTTTTGATACCCCCTGGGGAAAAATATGTGCTAACTTTTGATACCCCCTGGGGAAAAATATGTGCTAGCTTTCAATACCCCCCTGGGGAAAAATATGTGCTAACTTTTGATACTCCCATGGGAAAAATGGATTTTTAAAGATTATTTTACCAAAACTAACTTCATCACAATTCATTAAACAAATATGGAGATTTTTCCACTTTTTAACAAAATATAATATTTGAATTTTCGTCAAAATCTACCTTTTTCAGATTTTAAAAACTGTAATAACTATTATTACATTCCCGAGGCTTCTAAAGACCTTGTTGGGTCCTTAACACATATTTTTGAGTTAAGAAATCAATTCTAATTAATGTTTTCGGAGTTGTAAAACCGCAACTTTAGATTGCATCCCTAGGGTTGTAATCTAACATTGCAATTCTGGTTTCAGGGTTGCAAAGTAAATTTCACGGATTCAATAGCGTCATAATGTTGTTCATAAGTTGTAAAAAGTGTTTTACTCCCAAATTGTATATATATATATTGTATATTGTATATATACATATTTTATTATAATTATAAAATTCTAAGTTATTTTTCTTTAGAAAACAGAAAAACAAAGTCGAAATTTTCAGTCCACATCTTTCTGTACCTATTATCAAGTATTCGTAGAGACAGTATCCTTCACAGTTTTCCGCTCCGCCATTTTCAATTCGGCTTGAGGTTGTGACACGTTCCAGGGCTCCGCCAAGGTCATCCTCCGCCAATTTTCGTTTACGAACAGCAACCATTGAAAGCCCTCCGCCTCCAAGAGGTACCCATCCGCCTTAAATAAATAAAAAAATAAATAAATAAATGAATAAGTCAATCAATCAATGAACTAACCAATTGATCAATTAATCAGCCAATCAATCAATCAATCAAGTAACCAATCAATCAAGTAAGTAAACAATCAAGTAAGTAACCAATCGATAAAGTAAACAATCAATCAAGTAACCAATCAATCAAGAAAACAATCTATCAAGTAACCAATCAATCAAGTATTCAATCAATCAAGTATACAAATCAATCAAGTAAACAAATCAATCAAGAAACCAATCAAACAAGAAAACAATCAATCAAGTAACCAATCAATAAAGTATCCAATCAATCAAGTAAACAATCAATCAAGTAACCAATCAATCAAGTAAACAAATCAATCAAGTAACCAATCAAACAAGTAAACAAATAAATCAAGTATCCAATCAATCAAGTAAGTAAAAAATCAATCAAGTAAGTAAACAATCGATAAAGTAAACAATCAATCAAGTAAACAATCAATAAAGTAAGAAAACAATCAATCAAGTAAGAAAACAATCAATCAAGTAAAAAAACAATGAATCAAGTGAACAATCAATCAAGTGAACAATCAATCAAGTAACCAATCAATCAAGTAAGAAAACAATCAATCAAGTAAACAATCGATAAAGTAAACAATCAATCAAGTAAACAATCAAAAAAGTAAGAAAACAATCAATCAAGTAACCAATCAATCAAGAAACCAATCAATCAAGGAAACAATCAATCTAATAACTAATCAACCAATCAATCAATCAAGTAACAAATCAATCTAATAACTAATCAACCAACCAATCAATCAACCAACCAATCTGTAAATTAGTAAATCAAATTTGTGCTTTTTGATCTGATTCAATTATTCGTTCACATATTTACTACATAGTACTAGACAAGCAGTTCGAATACCATACAGATGCTTTTTAACAACAATTTAAAAAAAATAAAGTCCTTTTAATTTGCCAAACTAAATTTTCAAAAAGAATTAAATGTTTCTTTAAAAAGTTTATTTACCCGTTGAATCGTCTCTCATCATAACCTGGGCCCGGACCCGGACCAGGGAACCATCCCTAAAAAATACATTATTTTTAAATGTTTATACTCAATACTTTTGTTTTGTATCCAGATCAAGTATCGATCTCCATTTTATGCAGATCTACGGAGTATTTTTCGATAATACATGGTCGGATAACTTAAGTTTAGGAATCAACCATTGATCCTCAAATTGTAAATGCCGTTATTGGATATCGAGATCACGTAGTAAAAGATTAAGGATGCTTTTCACAAAAGTTCCAACATAGCTAGGGTCGAAATCTTAGGAAAATTTGCTGAAAATTTTTTTAACATTCCAAGATTTCTGAGAAGGAATACATTCATTTTTTTTGTAAACTACAATATTTTGTATTATAGAAACCTGTGAAACTAAAATATCATTTTGTATTATAGAAACCTGTGAAACTAAAATATTATTTTGTATTATAGAAACCTGTGAATCCACAACTTCGGACATGATTCAACACAATCTGTTTGTTTCTTCAGATTTCTTCTTTTTCTTCCTCATTATCCTCCTAAACATTTTAAACTTCAAGTTGTACACATCTTACCCTGTATCCTGTACCCTGTATCCTGTATCCTGTATCCTGTATTCTGTATCCTGTACCCTATACCCTGTATCCTGTATCCTGTATCCTGTATCCTGTATCCTATACCCTCTATTCTGTACCCTGTATCCTGTGTCCTGTGTCCTGTATCCTGTATCCTGTATCCTGTATCCTGTATCCTGTATCCTGTATCCTGTACCCTATACCCTATACCCTATACCCTGTATCCTGTATCCTGTATCCTGTATTCTGTACCCTGTATCCTATATCCTGTATCCTGTACCCTATACCCTATATCCTGTACCCTGTACCCTATACCCTCTATTCTGTACCCTGTACCCTGTACCCTGTACCCTGTATCCTGTACCCTGTATCCTGTACCCTGTACCCTGTATTCTGTACCCTATACCCTATACCCTGTATCCTGTACCCTGTACCCTGTATCCTGTATCCTGTATCCTGTATCCTGTATCCTGTATCCTGTACCCTGTATCCTGTATCCTGTACCTTGTATCCTGTACCCTATACCCTGTATCCTGTACCCTGTACCCTGTACCCTGAATTCTGTACCTGATTGAGTTCACTCATTCACACCAAGTATAGATGAACAGTCAACAAATAAATTGTTTGACACAACTTCCAAAATTACAACTAATCGAAAGTCGTAGAATTTGACTTATTTGCAGTTAACACAGAAACAGTTTTCTTTCTGAGCTTTTAATGCATCTGAAAAAAAGCAGTTTAAATAAATTATGATTTTTTAAATACATGTTTTGTAATTGTAAATGCTATTTAAGATTTAGCAAAAACATAATTTTTCAGATGTAAGTAGACATAAAAAACAAGGCATGAATAATTATGTTTATTTTATGGCATGAGTTGCATAAAATTGAAGAATTTAAAATCCCTCTCGTAAAATACGAAATAGATAACATTACTTTTACCTAATTCAGAACATTTTTCAGTTCTTTACGATGCTTAAATAAATAAACAAAATTCTTAATTAATAAAATAATATATTAAGATGACTAATAACAGCTGACAATCAGACATAAATAAGGTTTAAATAGATCTGATAATCAGACAAATAGATCTGATAATCAGACAAATAGAGATCGATAATCAGACATAAATATGGTTTAAATAGATCTGATAATCAGACATAAATAAGGTTTAAATAGATCTGATAATCAGACATAAATAAGGTTTAAACAGATATGATAATCAGACATAAATAAGGTTTAAACAGATCTGATAATCAGACATAAATAAGATTTAAACAGATCTGATAATCAGACATAAACAATGTTTAAATAGATCTGAACATCAGACATAAATAAGGTTTAAATAGATCTGATAATCAGACATAAATAAGGTTTAAATAGATCTGATAATCAGACGTAAATAGGGTTTAAACAGATCTGATACGACACAAATAAGGTTTAAATATATCTGATAATCAGACATAAATATGGTTTAAATAGATCTGATAATCAGACATAAATATGGTTTAAATAGATCTAGGGTCTGTCCTAGTATACGAAGATCTAATAATCAGACATAAATAAGGTTTAAATAGATCTGATAATCAGACATAAATATGGTTTAAATAGATCTAATAATCAGACATAAATTATCTTTTAATAGATCTGATAATCAGACATAAATAAGGTTTAAATAGATCTGATAATCAGACATATTGTGGTTTAAATCGTCATTATTATCTTACAATTTTGATTTTTGAAAAATTTTCTCACTTAATAACTTCTTAACGCCTATTTATTTTTACTATGCTAATTTCAAATTTAATGTCAATAAATTTAATCTTTTTGTAAACGACTGAAATAAATAAAATATATTTATATATACACTTACTTTATCACTGAAGAACTAAGATTACAAATTTTACGACATGTGAAAATTTATCAATTACTTAATTTTATTGTATTTAAAACATGATCGCATTCATTCTTTTATTTTAAACTTGTATTTTCAAACTTGTATTTGCAATTAACCTAAATAAGTAAACATTTTAGATTTAAATAAGCTCTTGCTAACTTGCTAGTCGACTACACACTGTGCTTAATAAATCTTAAGTGTATTGTTTAACTGAGGAGTAGGTAGGCTAAGCAACTGTGTAAGTATTAAACCCTCCCCCCTCCCCCCTCCACACTCGTCCATTGATCAACACACAAACCCTGCAGTCTCGAGAATAAATAGAAGGGAAATCTCCGAACCGGTTGTCCTGCTCTGAACAGAAAGCAAAAATTTACGAAACCTCGAATAATGAATGAATTGGGTCTGGCCTTGTGTGGAAAAGAGTCCGGAAAATATAAAAAAAAAACATGTTAGTCCAGAAAACGAACTGTACCCAAATATAATGATTGAAATGAATGAAGCTTTTTCTTTTAACGTCTGAAATGAATTATTAATATGATTAGACCATTTAATATTTATTTATTAATATTGCAAAACAATATTTGATAATTCCCAGTAGTAGGTATATATTATTGGAGGGACGTGCAAGCTCAGGTCCTCAGAATTTTTTTATAATTATTTTTTTTC